CAAGTCCACCATATATGATAATACATAGCATCAACACAATCACATCTCCAACATTTCGGTTGTAAGTTTGAATACATACAAGCTAATTTTTTAGGATCTATAAAACATCTTGTAGAAATTCTCTCTCAGGTTTTGGGCTTGCGTAAATTTTACGTTTCTTACCCGTATCTTTTCCCATGTTTCCATCATTATTATTATAATCTATTTTTTTTAATCATTTGCCCATGAGGTTTTTACATTATTGCTTGGAAACGTGACCCTTGCAAGCTATTGCTTGATGGGCAGAACTATTAAAACTGGCTGCAGGGATTTTATTCCCCTTATATCTGAGGGCAATTTACAGCCCTGGCAGGTTTTGTCCGGAGTGAAATTTCAGAAACTCTTAATTGGGCTACAGGATCCAGGAGGACTTTGTGTGATTGACAGAGACCAGCCGTTGTTCTCATCCCTTCCGGAGAATGAAAAGCACAGCAAGAAATTGCCCCATTAGGAAGGACAAAAAGGTGTCCCCTTTTGTTACAGGCGCTGATCCTTTCAATCCCCTGGCCCAGTTCCATGAAATACGGAGCCTTTCCCTCGGATGGAGCATAGGTGGAAATGGGCGTCTACCTTGTTCATTATTAATCGCCTTCTTTGCTTTGACCGAGTTTGGAGATCTGAAAGGAGACTCCCGGAGTGCTTGGCTTTCCCATCCCAACCTGGAGTTCAGCTGCTCCGCTAGCCCAGCCCCTGCCTAACTCCCTGCCCTTTTGTCTCGTTTTTTGGGACTCTTTCTTAGCCTAGAGGACTGGACGTAGGCAGCCGGGGGCCTCTTCCCCCTCTGGAGAGTCCTGTCTCCAGAATTGGGGCCAGAGAGGGGCAGAACGAGACCCACTGGGTCAATTTCCTCTTTTGAGACCGTTTGTGATCCAGATCGGGCGAGCATGCCTCAGTGAACTGGGTGGGAGAGAATCAGACATCTACGGAGGGAGCAATTAGCAAGGCTAAATTTAACCAAAGGAGCATCATTCCCTATAGCATCAAACCCAAAGCAGGGAGGGCACCATTTATTTATTTTTTTAAAGAGAAAGTTACACGAAAAGCAGGTCTCTTTAATGGGAAAAGATTTTTTTTCCCCTGAAGGAAAACCGGCTCCTTGGATCAATCTGGTCGGAAGAGAGCAGGAAACTGGAGTGAAGGAGGGGGGGGGGGCGATGAGCACATAGCACCTTGGACAGCACCATGGCCAGGTAGAAGCAGCGCCCAGCCCCCCCCCTTCCTCCTGGTGGCTGGAGTCTGGTCAGTCTGCAAGGAAAGGGCTCGGAGATACTCTACAAGGGGTCCGTCCCCCACTCCTTTGCTCAGGATTTCAAGGTGGGCCTGAAATAAAAGGCCTTTTGGTGTCTTTCCTGTGCAACATTCACACTGGCACTGATTTGTCCCTATTTCTTTTTTTTTTAATTGAAAATTTTGGGTGAAAAAAAACTTTTACAAATATTTACCTTCCTCCCCCTCCCC